GGAATATGATTAAATCTAAAAATTGTATTTGTACAATGATTCTTTGCATGTTTTCACATCTTTATGATGTGAATAAATATTTGTTAGACAGTGTCTACAGTGTTTCAAGTGCCCAGACAACAATGGAAGCAGTTGGAACATGAAATCTAAAAATTCCAGATGTGTAGAGATATCTGGATATGTCACTGAAATTTTCAGATTTCATCCAGATGTTTGGTGTTATGGTTGTTTGTTTCTACAAAAGTCATACATTTATGGTACAATATAAATATGGATTATGACATTATATAGACTCAGCTTCCCACTAACCTAATTCACTGTGGCCACCTTAGGAAATTATGAGATACTATAGATTCATATATAATTTGATTTCTTCTCTAATGTAAAGCCTAGGAGACCAGATATTATACACATTAAATGCAAATGTGCAAAGTGCCTGGATTCCAATAACACCTCCACTTCCTATACAACTTCCTGCTAATGCTCACCCTGGGAGGCATCAGTTGATGGCTGAATTACTTGGGTCCCTACCACCCAGGTGGGAGACCCAGGTGGAGTTCTTGGCTCTTGACTATGATATGGCCCACTCCTGGCTCCTGTGGTTATGGGGAGTGAACCAAGAGATGGAAGATAATCTCTTTCATTCTCACTCTCTCATTCTGCCTTTCAAATGAATAAAAACAAATAATTTTTAAAAATTAAATGGTAAAATGTCATACGGTGAGAAAGAAAACCAACGGACATACTTTCTTTTAAATACAAAGTCGTATTCCTAAAATCCGTACCTTCTTCTTAGAATTTTCTCATGTGAAATTGCATATGACAGATGGATGCTGGTATTACAGAATTACTGTACCTCCTCTCCTAGAGAAGTACATAAGCATGGATTTCAATAACTCTATTCCTCCCGTTTTTGTTTCCTGTCAAGATTATTTTGCATGAACATTTCAGTCTTGGTGACAGTGATTATGATGATGACTTACGTGTTGTTTTTTGTTTCCATCTGGAATGGTCAATGGAGAAAATATCCCTATGGAGAATCTTGAAAGCCTCATTATTCCAATATCACAAATATGAAAATTGAGACAGAGAAAAGTGTGGTTTTCCCAAATTCACACAAAAACTCAGAAGTGAAGCCAAGAGTAGTACCCAGCTCATGTGCAACAGATCTAATGCAACCTGCACTGTCAAGCTCACATGGTGATTAGACTGAGTAGTGTAATTACCTAAAGTACAGGGCAGGAAAATAGCGCCCCATTTACCAACCCAGTCACAGCAAGTAGAGGAATTATGTGAATGAGAGTCACCATATGGATGGTGCTCACGCATTTCACAATCCTGTACTTTACCTTCTTATCCTGAATGCTCTAAAAACAGGAGTTTGAGATAGAATTCAAATAAAAAAAACCAAACCCCAATTCTGGAGCCAGATAAAGACATAGGTGTTTAAATCCTGCTGTTAGATTAAATCCTGGGGTTAGAGTTTCCATCTGTGTCATGTTCATGTAAACTTTACCTCAATTGTCTCATTCATAACATAGAAATAATGTTCACAACATGAGGGGAAAGTGTATTAGAAATAAAGCACATGTAGCACATATGCTGTAACATGATGCATGCAGTGATCCTTATGAGTAGTAAGCAGTAATAATATGTCAGTTCTCATCAAATATTTTTAAATCTTTATTTGAAAGGCAGAGAGTTACAGAGAGGCAGAGGCAGAGAGAGAGAGAGAAAGAGGGAGAGAGAGAGAAAAAGGGAGAGAGAGAGAGAGAGGTCTTCCATCCGCTATTTCACTCCCCAAATGGCAGCAATGGCCAGAGCTGAGCAAATCTGAAGCCAGGAGTCTGGATCTTCTTCTGGGTCTCCCACATGGGTGCAGGGCCCAACAACTTGGGCCATCTTCCACTGCTTTCTCAGGCCATAGCAGAGAGCTGAATTGTAAGTGGAGTGACCAGGACTTGAACTGGCACCCATGTGGGATATTGGCACTTCAGGTGGCAGCTTTACATGCTATGCCATAGTGCTGACCCCTCACCACTGAACTTTAAATCAAATTTTTACTATATTGTATTATTTTTATCAAATGGACTAGTGTATAGATAGGTAATAAATGAGACATGATGTTAATTGAACCCAGCAGTGAAAGCAGTGACAATCCCTAGTTAAGAATCATCTCAATTTCAGTATTTAATTGTGTAAATGTCTAAGGAATTTATACTTTTATGAATCATGTGATTTCAAGGTTACAGACATAAATATGTCTTTGGAAATTTGAGTTATTTCTCATCACATTCCCATTGTCACTGTGTATTCACAGAAATTGAGATTATTTCAAATATGAAAATGCAGAACATTCAAAATATATTTGGTGTAAAGAATGAAATATATTTGGTGGTGAAACAGACCTGTCCCTATCAGATACAAAGATCTGGTATAAAATTACAGCAAGAATGAAAATATTATGTTCTCACAGGTAAAAACTGACCCAGGGACAGAACAGAGTAGAGCAGAAAGCTGTGCATAGGAGGGGCCTTGAAAAGCTCATGGATGGGGCCAGTGCTGTTGTGCAGGGCATTGAGCCTCTGTTTGTAACACCAGCATGCCATGTGGAGCACCAGTCTGAGTTCTGGCTGCTCTGCTTCAGATTCAACTCCCTTCTAATGCACCTGGGAGAGCAGCAGACAATGCCCTGAGTACTTACTCCCTGCCACCCACATGGGAGACCCAGACGTGGTTGTGGGCTCATCTGTTTGGGGGAGTGAACCAACAGATGGAAGATTTTTCTCTTTCTCTGTTTCTCTCTCTGTCTCCATTAGCATAACTTTCAAATAAATAAAATAAATCTTGAAAAAAACCCTCAGAAACCTCTTGGGACACAAGAAGTTATCATTTAATTCCATTTTCTGTGAGCTTTTTGAAGCCACTTTCTTTTTTTTTTTTTTTTTTTTTTTTTTGACAGGCAGAGTGGACAGTGAGAGAGAGAGACAGAGAGAGAAAGGTCTTCCTTTGCCGCTGGTTCACCCTCCAATGGCCGCCGCTGCAGCCGGCGCACCGCGCTGATCCTGGCAGGAGCCAGGAGCCAGGTGCTTTTCCTGGTCTCCCATGGGGTGCAGGGCCCAAGCACCTGGGCCATCCTCCACTGCACTCCCTGGCCATAGCAGAGAGCTGGCCTGGAAGAGGGGCAACCGGGACAGAATCCGGCGCCCCAACCGGGACTAGAACCCGGTTTGCCGGCGCCGCAAGGTGGAGGATTAGCCTATTGAGCCACGGCGCCGGCTCTGAAGCCACTTTCTACATGGAAGCTTTATTGATGATGGAATTGAAACAGTGATCACTGAGAAAATGGTGACTTTCGTAAAAAGCTACCTAGAACAACTTGTTCTTTTTAAATATTTATTTATTTATTTGAAAGAGTTACACAGAGGGAGGGGAGGCAGAGAGAGAGAGAGAGAGAGAGAGAGAGAGCGAGAGAGCTCTTCCATCCACTGGTTCACTTCCCAGTTGGCTGCAATGGCTGGAGCTGCACTGATTCGAAGCCAGGAGCCAGGAGCCAGGAGCTTCTTCCCAATCTTCTCCATGGGTACAGGGGCCCAAAGACTTGGGCCATCTTCTACTGCTTTTTCAGGCCACAGCAGAGAGCTGGATCAGAAGTGGAGCAGCCAGGTCTCGAACTGGCACCATATAGGATGCTAGTACTTCAGGCCAGGGCGTTAACCCACTGCACCACAGCACTGGCCCCAAGAATAACTTGTTATTCACACAGAATAAATGGAAGCATTTGCTTTCCTCTGTATACTAAAATCAATACTTCCTGGTTTGACAGGTTCAATTTGAAATGCAAACCTTAAACTCTTTGAAAATGTAGAATACATTTGTGGCCTCAGCAGAGAGTATCCTTCAATAGCTCTAACCATTAAAGAAACAGTGTGTAAATATAAATACATTAAGAGCTTCTGATCATCAACAAATACTCCAAGAAAAGGGGAGGGCACAAACAGAGAAGATAGTAGCTTCCATACAACTGAAGGTATTAAATTAGGACTCAGACATTTTAAAGTACATAAAGAGCAAGATTAATTTTAAAAAGAATTCATACCAGATACAGGGAGGTATTTCATAGAAGCACTACAGTGGGCCATTATTTTTTAAAAAAAGAACGTTAATTTATCTATGAGAAATGAGAGAGAGAGGCCTTCCATACACTGGCTCACTCCCCAAATGGCAGCACTTCCCAGGTGCAGCAACAGGGAGTGAATTGGACACAGAGCAGCCAGGACTCCTGGTGCTACAACATGGGACATGGGCAATAACTCTGGATCCTAAACTCTTCAAAGATACTTGACTCCATTAGAAAACAGGAAAGGCAAAATAAAAGCACAGTAAGATAACATTTATTGTCATTGTGTTGTAAAAAAAAAGTTGAACCTGGTAAATCCAAATGCCAGCAAAGATTTGGGTGAACTTGAACCTTTATGCCCTGGAATGAATAAGAAAACTAAACTGATACAACCTTGGGAAACATTTTTTTTTTTCACATTAGTGTGTTAAGATGAACATTCACATAACATTCAACCTATTGAAGCTCCTGGCTAGGTATCCACATAGGTTCCATCACAGGTTTATCATGCAAGAGCAGAACCAAATACCTTGGAGACATCCTGAATGATAAGCCCTTTCTTGTCTACTTCTCTTTATTATTGTGATTTTTAATTTTTAAATCCACAAAGCAAAAACTGGGAGGTAATACTACAATGAATTCCCTTTGTTGTTAAATATGAAAGGTAATCATTTGTGTGCATCTTCTGAATGCTTATAAATTATTATCACAAACATGCAACCTGATTAAACTCAGGGTGGGATTATTTTTATATTTACCCTCTTCCATGGTGTCTTCGTGTAAACCTTTGAGAATCTGGTTCTCCTAGGCAGACCAAAAGGAGAAAGCACTTGAATTTAATGTTCTGTTTTGCTTCGTGTGTTTCCTTTCTTTGTCCAAGGTGAAAGTGTGGTTCCAGAACAGGTGGATGAAGAGGAAGAGGGTAAAATTGGGCCAGCTGGGCACTGCTGCCTGAGAAAAGGAACTGGTGAACGTGAAGAAAGGAACCCTGCTCCCTTCAGAGCTGTCAGGGATTGGTGCGGCCACGCTCCAGCAAACAGGGGACTCTCTGGACAATGAAGACAGCCACAACAGCTACCACAGCTCTGAGCATGCACACTTATGATCCACACAGACAGGACCAGATCCATCCTCAGGAAAGAAGCACCGTGATGGCAAGCCTTACCCAACAGAGTTTACACAGAGAGATGGCCATGGCCATGATTTTTAATATTATCAAATTCAGGCATCATGGGTCTGTTTTGCATGATTTATAGAGGAAGGAAGTGCCACTTATCAAAGATGTTTCCATGATGAAAATCAGAAGGTGAATTTGCTTTGAATAGTCAGAGATGTTTGGTTGTGTGTATGACAGTGAGCAGGTATGTTTGCCTTTGCTTGCACTGAAAAATTAAATGGGTACTAAGAACAAATTATGACACATTTCTACACGAGATGCCTCCAGAGTGAAAACGTTGAAGATGAACTTACTTTACCCTCTCAGATGTACGAGTTCATGTTTATGACAGTGGGCAGGTATTTGCTTTTGCTTGTACTGAGAAATTGCTATCAAGAATAAAACATAAAACCTTTTATCCTGAACAGCCAAAGTGCCTGAGATCATTCAAGTAGATTTTAAAAAGGATGTAGTTTAACTCTGTATATATTATTCTTAAGTCATTTTCCTGTCTTCACTAATTTTAGCAATTCATTCATATTAGCTGATGAAAATAGGCACTGATAATGCCAGCCAGGCCAGCTTCCTGCCTTTTTATGCATGTGTCATTCTGAGACAATCCGTATGCACTTACTTGTGTACAAGTAGAGAAAAATACAGTAGTCTAATACGACATATTCTTGTACCACAGACAAAACAAATGTTATGTTGCATTTACTATCACTGCTGCTAATACGTTATTATACAACTTACCTAGCTCCTCCTTGATTTATCCTATCTTGTAGCTTGAAAAAAAAATAGGATCATAGGAAAATCAGTTACCTTGTGGAAGGAGCTTTGTTGTGGCAGACACTGTGATTTTATTTCTATAAAATTAAAGCTGTTATGAATATGACTTAATTAACAAGAAAATGTTTCTTCCTTCTTAGAAATGGTGTCAGACAAGGAGCAAAGACAAATGGGCTCCCCAAGGGGATAGACAAAACAATTCTGAATGTCTTCAAATTAAATTCAGTAAAAACACATTATTTTTTAATATGTGATGTATTCTTGCAGAACAACCATCTTTGTATTTTGTGAAAAATGTTTAATAAATGATCCTTTATAAATAATTTTGGTCTCCCCATTGTAATTTCTTTAATTTCTATAGATTTTAATATTCATATCTAAGAGTGCCCCAGACTCATCTGCTCTGTACTAATTCAGATCAAGATCATTAATGAGTCACAGGTTTTCATTTGTAGATTTATTATGGCAAGAAAAAAATCAATCCTTGGGTGATCAAAGAGAATCTAAACATCATCATACAGTAAACCATTTTCTTAACTTGAAGAATATGGCAAATGAATGTTTTTGTGTGTTTTACAAAGCAAAGATAAAAGGGAACAGGTAACACTAACTGCCACAACTAATAAGTAAAGTAGTCATATATTTTAAAATTTATGTTTAACATATGTGAATCAATCCAATAGTTGTTTTAAAGTCACATCAACCAGAGTCCTTGATGTTACCATGAGCTAGCCAATCAGAATCTTCATTGGAATGGACACCACAGGTATCAGAAGTCAACGACTATAGTTCGGCGCTGTGGCTCAATAGGCTAATCCTCCACCTGCAGTGCCAGCACACAGGGTTCTAGTCCCAGTCAGGGTGCCAGCTCTGTCCTGGTTGCTCCTCTTCCTGTTCAGCTCTCTGCTATGGCCCAGGAAGGCAGTGGAGGATGGTCCAAGTGCTTGGGCCCTGCACCCACCCAGGAGACCAGGAGAAGCACCTGGATCCCGGCTACTGTGGGGGTGAACCAATGGAAAAAGGAAGACCTTTCTCTCTGTCTCTCTCTCTCTCACTGTCCACTCTGCCTGTTAAAAAAAAATTCAAGGATTGTATTAACTTAATACATTTCATGTCATGCATGGTTGCACATGCATTGGATGCCTAAGACCTACTTACAGCAATATCATGTTATTTTTTAACTGTTCCACATTTAACCAGAAGAATTTGGAAACATTACCATCATTCCTCCTTCCTCCATAGAAATAAACAGAAAAATAATTCATAAACATTTCCAAATTACTCATTATTTGATTTTGTTTCAGAATGATTAGATTGACAAAATATATTGATTCTATTCTTAGTCTAGCAAGACATATATGAGTATTCAAGAAATAAAGTAAATTATATTTTTGTATCATATTTTCTCTTTGTGAAATACATTTTATCACACTGGTAAACAATATATCTAATTTAATTTTGGGGAGATCCTGTTCAAATTGAAGGTACAAAACATACTTCTCTATCACTTGAAGGAATAAAAATTATGCTTGTATTGAAGATATCTATTTCTTTTTGTAGAATAACTCTGCCTCTCAAAGAAAATAAATCTTAAAAAACAATTCTATAAAACTATTCAGTTAACATTTGAGGTAAGTGATACTTAGGTGAAAATATGATGTTTGCAATATAAATAGAAACAATTGGCATAGTTATTATTTGAACCATCTGGGGAACAGTGTATTTTGCTGTCAGTTCCTAATGCTGCATTCTGTTTGTAAAAAGCAATTCAGAAAAACCTTCCATGCTCATGGATTGGGAGAATCAACATCATCAAAATGTCCATTCTCCCAAAAACAATCTGTAGATTCAATGTAATTCCAATCAGGAAACCAAAGACCTTCTTCTCAGATCTGGAAAAAATGATGCTGAAATTTATATGGAGGCAAAAGAGACCTCGAATAGCTAAAGCAATCTTGTACAACAAAAACAAAACCGGAGGCATCTCAATACCAGATTTCAGGACATACTACAGGGCAGTTGTAATCAAAACAGCATGGTACTGGTACAGAAACAGATGGATAGACCAATGGAACAGATTGAAACACCAGAAATCAACCCAAACGTCTACAGCCAACTTATATTTGATCAAGGATCTAAAATCAATTCCTGGAGCAAGGACAGTCTATTCAATAAATGGTGCTGGGAAAACTGGATTTCCACGTGCAGAAGCATGAAGCAAGACCCCTACCTTACACCTTACACAAAAATCCACTCAACATGGATTAAAGACCTAAATCTATGACCTGACACCATCAGGTTATTAGAGAACATTGGAGAAACCCTTCAAGATATTGGCACAGGCAAAGAATTTCTGGAAAAGACCCGGGAGGCACAGGCAGTCAAAGCCAAAATCAACTATTGGGATTGCATCAAAGTGAGAAGTTTCTGTACTGCAAAGAAACAGTCAGGAGAGTGAAGAGACAACCGACAGAATGAGAAAAAATATTTGCCAACTATGCAACAGATAAAGGGTTAATAACCAGAATCTACAAAGAGATCAAGAAACTCCACAAAAACAAAACAAAGAACCCATTTAAGAGATGGGCCAAGGACCACAATAGACATTTTTCAAAAGAGGAAATCCAAATGGCCAACAGACACATGAAAAAATGTTCAAGATCACTAGCAATCAGGGAAATGCAAATCAAAACCACAATGAGGTTTCACCTCACCCCAGTTAGAATGGCTCACATACAGAAATCTACCAACAACAGATGCTGGTGAGGATGTGGGGGAAAAGGGACACTAACCCACTATTGGTGGGAATGCAAACTGGTCAAGCCACTATGGAAGTCAGTCTGGAGATTCCTCAGAAACCTGAATAGAACCCTACCATTCGACCCAGCCATCCCACTCCTTGGGATTTACCCAAAGGAATTTAAATTGGCAAACAAAAAAGCTGTCTGCACCCTAATGTTTATTGCAGCACAATTCACAATAGCCAAGACCTGGAACCAACCTAAATGCCCATCAACGGTAGACTGGATACAGATATTATGGGATATGTACTCTTTAGAATACTACACCGCAGTAAGAAACAATGAAATCCAGTCATTTGCAACAAAATGGAGGAATCTGGAACACATCATGCTGAGTGAAATAAGCCAGTCCCAAATGGACAAATACCATATGTTCTCCCTGATCGGTGACAACTGACTGAACACCAAAAAGGAAACCTCCTGAAGTGAAATTGACACTGAGAAATGGTGACTTGCTCAGCATAGCCCTGACTGCTAATGAACAACTTAATACATTATCCTCTTAGTATTTTTTTGTCTGTTCTACTTAATATGACTGGTTTAATTCTGTAATTAATACACAGTTATTCTTAAGTGTTAAAAATTAACTGAAATGTGATCCCTGTTAAACATAAGAGTAGGAATAAGAGAGGGAAGAGATGTATAATTTGGAACATGCTCAAGCTGACTTGCCCCAAATGGTAGAGTTAAAAACATACCAGGGGATTCCAATTCAATCCCATCAAGGTGGCATGTACCAATGCCATCTCACTATTCCAAGTGATCAATTTCAGTTCACAATTGATCATAATGAAAGGACTAAGAGTCAAAGGGAGCACATAAACAAGTCTAGTACCTGCTAATACTAACCAATAGAATAAATAAATGGGAGAGTGATCCAACATGGGAAGTGAGATACTCAGCAGACTCATAGAATGGCGGATGTCCTAAATAGCACTCTGGCCTCAGAATCAGCCCTAAAGGCATTCGGATCTGGCTGAAAAGCCCATGAGAGTATTTCAGGCATGGAAAGCCAAGACACTCTGGCAAAAGATCTCTGTGAGTGAGATCCCAGTGGAAAGAACAGGTCTTCAAAGAAGGAGGTACCTTTCTCTGAAGGGAGGAGAGAACCTCCACTTTCACTATGACCTTGTCTAAACAAGATAAGAGTCGGAGAACTCAGAGGGCTTCCATAGCCTTGGAAACTCATGACTGGAGCATAGGGAGACTACTGATGCCATAGACAGGAGTGTCAATTGGTAAAGTCAACAACAGGAGTCACTGTGCACTTACTCCTCATGTAGGATCTCTGTCCTTAATGTGCTGTGTATTGAGATTTAATGCTATAACGAGTACTCAAACAATATATTTCACTTTGTGTTTCTATGGGGGTGCAAACTGTTGAAATATTTACTTAAACTGATCCTCTGTAAAAAAAAAAAAAAAGAAATTATCAACTCCCAACTTGACTCTCACTGGGATTAAACATGACAATAGGTCTGATCTGATTTCATCATCATTTAAAAAAATCATCTATTATTTTTCACTTTATGTTTCTGTGTGGGAGCAAACTGTTGAAATCCTTACTTAATGTATACTAAGCTGATCTTCTGTATATTAAGATAATCGAAAATGAATCTTGATGTGAATGGAAGGGGAGAGGGAGTGGGAAAGGGGAGGGTTGTGGGTGGGAGGGACGGTATGTGGGGGAAGCCATTGTAATCCATAAATCGTAATTTGGAAATTTATATTCATTAAATAAAAGTTAAAAAAATAAAAAAATAAAAAAATACATTATCTCTCTTAGTATTTTTTTTGTCTGTTCTACTTAATATGACTGGTTTAATTCTGTAATTAATACACAGTTATTCTTAAGTGTTGAAATTTAACTGAAATGTGATCCCTGTTAAACATAAGAGTAGGAATAATAGAGGGAAGAGATGTACAATTTGGGACATGCTCAAGCTGACTTGCCCCAAATGGTAGAGTTAAAAACATACCAGGGGATTCCAATTCAATCCCATCAAGGTGGCATGTACCAATGCCATCTCACTATTCCTAGTGATCAATTTCAGTTCACAATTGATCATAATGAAAGGACTAAGAGTCAAAGGGAGCACATAAACAAGTCTAGTACCTGCTAATACTAACCAATAGAATAAAGGGGAGAGTGATCCAACATGGGAAGCGAGATACTCAGCAGACTCATAGAATGGCAGATGTCCTAAATAGCACTCTGGCCTCAGAATCAGCCCTAAAGGCATTCGGATCTGGCTGAAAAGCCCATGAGAGTATTTCAGGCATGGAAAGCCAAGACACTCTGGTAAAAAAAAAAAAAAAAAAAAAAAAAAAAAAAAAAAAACAAACAACAACAACAACAAAAAAACCTAAATGAAAGATCTCTGTGAGATCCCAGTGGAAAGAACAGGTCTTCAAAGAAGGAGGTACCTTTCTCTGAAGGGAGGAGAGAACCTCCACTTTGACTATGACTTGTCTAAACAAGATAAGAGGCAGTGAACTCAAAAGGCTTCCATAGCCTTGGAAACTCA